GTTTTTGGGTTAAATTAATTAAACTTATATGTTTAATTGATGCTAATGAGTGTCCAAACCTGTTAGGAACTCACGAAATTAGCCCAAATTGTATAACTTAGAAATTTTAGAAACGTCCCCGTCGAATTACGGAAACTTAATCGGGTGCGACCAAAAGCCCGTTTAACGTCGGTATCGGGTAGAATTCCACCGTGTCCAAAACTTAGACACTACTTAAAGTGATCTAAGCACTCATTTGAAGCTTTTTCTTCCTCTCTCTAACCTCTCTCCTAAAATCCAAGTTTAAGGGTCCAAATCATCAATTTTAGACTCCAAATCTTTGAGGAATCTTGCAAAAGAACCGACGTTTAGATCCAAACTGATGCGTTTTCCAACCGGTGAGTTCATACCCCTACCCCTTTTCACTATTTTCTATGTTTTCAGGGGGGGGGGATACAAGCAATAAGTACAAGTGTATTTTGTACTTAAAACTGATTTTTAACTCAATGGTTTTACTTACTAAATGTCTTGATTTCCAAATATTTGTGATAACTAACGTTTCGAATTGCAGGTTAAATATAGATTTCTTTTAAAAAGTGTTATAACTATATTCTCTTTAAATAAGAAATCAAACTAATCTAATACGAATACGAATACGAATGTAATCTAATACGAATACGAATACGAAGGTAATCTAATACGAATACGAAGGTAATCTAATACAAATACGAATACGAATGTAATCTAATACAAATACGAATACGAATACGAATGTAACCTAATACGAATACGAATACGAATGTAATCTAGTACGAATACGAATAGAAATACGAATAGGAATACGACTAAGAATAGGAATACGACTACGAATACGAATACGACTACGAACACGAATACGACTACGAACACGAATACGACTACGACTACGAATACGACTACGAATGCGAAAATACGCCTCTGGACCTCTACCGAGTTTCGAATACATCCGCCTCAGAATGTCGACAGAGCTTCGAATATAAGAATAATGTACTCTTTTGGAAACAGTAGAACTTCAAAAATACTATAATTTACGCTTCTGTATGATTCCAAATATTCGAAAATACAACTAAGTTAGTAGATAATAGTCATTCGAATGTAGAATAACTAAGGGTTTAGAACACGTAACTAATACTACTCACATGTTCATTACTATTACTTCGAAATCAGACCTAAGAGCCAACCACCACACATAGGAAAATATGGGATTTTCCTGGGATAGCATAACAACCAGTAACAAACCTAGATACAATTAGACAACTCAACACATAGGAAAATATGGGATTTTCCTGGATAGTACAACAACACATAAACGGATAAAGTAACAAACAAATAACTAAAACAATAAGGAAAATATGGGATTTTCCTGGAATGATATAACCAACCGTTTTCGAAATTGTAACAAAGGATAATCAAACCGTTTTCATAAGAAAATATGGGATTTTCTTGATCAACAACTTTTCAGATAGCAAAGGAAACTCGTTCTTTTCAAAACTAAACCACTTATGAACTCACCAACTTTATGCTGATTTTCAAACTGCTTGTATTCTCAGGTCAACGTTAGACAGGTACATCACAACCTTTTGGAGAAGACGGAGCATCCCGAAGACTCGTCTTTACTTTTGTTCATATCATATATGTATAAAACACTTGTACAACTTTACTTGCAAATAGATGTAAACAATATTATGTAATGTAATGTTTTGTGATTACTGCTTTACTATGTGCATTGGATTTGATACTTAACGTGGAGTCCGCCCCGGAAACGTTTCCGCCTTTGGTTTTCGGGGTGTGACACAATATCAGTTAAGGATAAGGCTCCATAGTAACCATCAATGAAAACCTTTAAATATTCAAAACCAATCATAAAATATTCCTGGTTCACCACTTAAAGCTTCAAAACATCAACTGACTTTAAGATCTTAGCAACCATCAAAAGATCATAAAGATTCATCAAATAAAAAACAACAACTGAGAAGTTGAATACAACGTTGTTTGCTCGGATAGCATATTATCGATAATTCTGTAACATACCCTCGAATAGCATATCTTTGGATATGTTAAGAACTCGGACTATTTTGATTAATGACCAAAATCTTCTTCATTCTTTCCTAGAACTGCATGAAAATGAAACTTCATTCTTATGAACTCTTCTTTATCCTTGAATTTATTTGCAAGTTCGAATTGCTCATCAAGAAACATCATAAGATTGATTAGAAAGTCCAACTTATTGAAATCAGTGTTCTCGATGTCATAAATTTTCTTCGGAGTCTAGTTAAATGAATGCATTTCACCAGAATGAACAATAGCTTCAATGTATTTGTAACTGTAATGCTTTGCAGGATCTCCCTTGTTTAAACCTGGTGGATCATCAGCTCTAATTCGAAGAATACTTTGAATTTGCCTTTGTCTCTCTAACTCTTGTTCCAAAGCAACTTTCTTCACTTCAGTTATGGGTTCATGCAAGATGCCCTTTCCTTTATTTTGCATCTTTTATATGGTAGGAGTAGGTTTCGAACTTGTTCCTCCACCAGCAGAATTTCCAATAATAATTCCTTTTGTAATAGGCTTCGTTGTTGTTGTAGTTAATGTTGAAATTGTAGAAGCAGTTATCAAAGAAGTAGGGATTTAAGTAGATGACACCTTACCCACAACCTTTTGCATTTACATCATTCTTGTTTGAAGAGTTACCACTAGTTCCGAACCTTGACCCCTTGCCAACACCTGCCTTTTCTCCTCTTTGCACCCATGTGAAAACAGATGGGGCATCTGTTGGCATAATATTAACAATTTTTAAAGAGGGGCTAACTCCTTATGAATAGAAGATTCAAGTAGTGAAAACTTTGTGGAAAGAAGTTTAGGAGTTATTAAGGAAGACGAAACTAGATTTGTCTGCAATACAAGACCCTTCAACTCAACCAACAACTAATTAATATTCGCAAAGCTTTGAACATCTGTATCAGCCGTTTTGGCAACCTTCGGAACCAAAGACTCATATAACTTGACAAATTTGGTGACAACATCTGCAATGATATCAAACTTCTGATGAAGAGAAGAATAATCATGTTGTAAAGCTGAAACTTCTTTTCCAATATCTTCCCTCAATTCCTGAATTTTCAGATTTACATCTTCTCGAACTTTCTTCACATCTTGAATAAACAAAATGTGCCCTTCCTTCACAATCGCCTTTAAATATTTCAAATTAGAAGTAAAAGACATAGATTGTGCCTTCATCCGTTTTTCATTTTGTCGATCTGCATCTGTAATGGCATCGAGAAGTCTGTTCTCCTGACGCTTTAACAAGATATCAACTTCAAGACTTGACACATAATTCTCACCCCCTCCATCAGCTTGAAGTTTCAGAAGAGAATTAACCTTTCTATTGAGGATTTTAAATTGTTTCCCTGTAAGCAACATGTTATCTGAAATGTTCTCCTCATCGGGATCTAACTCGATGTCAGCAAAAGTACCATCAAACTCATCATCATCATTATTATGTTCTTCTTCTTCGTGATTGATTGGTGGATCATTGGATTAGGATGAAAATAATGAGGTAATGGGTTGATTGAGGATATTATCAAATGTGGGTGAATGGGTAATAATAGGAACAATAGAAACAAATGGAGGTAACGAAGTAGAAGTATCGATTGTGGAAGTGTCAAAAGTTGATGAAATGACAAGATTAGGAGTACTTTGATCTTGAAAATCTTTGTTATTAGAGACTCTGTCACCCATATTGACATTTGCACCCATATCAGATACGTTTACAGTGATGCCTGAGGTTTGAACCTCCTCATGAAATGATTCGGTATTCGAAACCTCGGGTGATGTGAAAATTGTCTTCACAGGAGTAGAAACCTTCATTGAATCACCCCGATGAATGGTTGTGTCCTCAACAGATGTTTCCGCAAAATCATCAATATTTACAGTGGTCTCAGCATTTGACTTAACTAGAGAATTCTGCACAGGTGATGATTCAGCATCATGGATTAGAGACTCAGGTACAACATCCTCTTCCCTGGAATCATCACAAATTACCAACTTTAAGAGTTTCTTCTTCTTCTTCTGATAAACATGTTTTGTCATATCTCTTGCCCTCCTTTTCTTTGATGCATGAGAAACTGGTACATGCACTTCTCGAAAGATAACCCCCTTTCGATTAATTTGTAGTTTTACTTTGTAAGTAGGACAAAAACTTCATGACTTTTCTGAGGAATGGGATTGTTTGTGAGCCATCATTTTCAAGTTTTTCAAAATGCGAGACTTCGACGGTAAAACTTCTGAATCTGGTTTCAAATCAGGCTTATGAGCAACTATCGGTGGTGGTTCAATGTGTACCTTCTTTTTGGGAGTTGGCTTGACAACCTTTTCAGATTTTGTAGGTGAAGATTTCGAAGTACTTTCAGTTGTACTTTTCTTGGATCCCTTCCTTGCCTTCTAAGGACCAGTAGTAGGAGATAACAAAACTCCAGTTTTGATGTCTGGATTTATCTTCTTCAAATACTTCACTAGAACAGGATAAGCAAGATCAACTTTGTTAAGCATGGCATCAGGAATGCGAGCAACTTTTGGAAAGATATCAACATCATCTTCAATTGTTTTAAGAAAATGAAACATTGAAAATTCTGCAATCTCTTCGTTATTAGGAACCATGATCCCCTCCTTCTCATAGGCAAACTTAAGAATAATGCTCCAGTATCTAGCACATGAAATACAATCGACAAAATTAGTGTTTCCAACACTTTTTACAAACTCATTCCACAATTGAGTTGCATAGTCCGCCTGTAAATCATAGTACTGTTGGGTTTTGAGCAATCTAACACTTCCTAAGTGTGCATGCAACCCTAATAAACCTTGGATCTATGTTTGTCTAAATACATGCAAAATAATAATTTTCCAAGGTTTATAACCTATCTAACATGGCATGGGGAACATTTCAACATAAAGAGTTAGAAGAGATTACATACCTTTTTGATGAGTTTGGTTCTTGAGGAGTTTGAGGGCCAAGCACCAATAGTGTGAATGCCTCAAATGGAATCACAAAACACCACAAACTCTTGGAAAACTTTGAGAGAGTATATACACTTGTATATTTCGGCCACACACAAGCTCACACACACTAGTTCACTAGTTACACTTAGGCACCATTTCATGCTCCATAAGCATGCTTATATAGTGTGCATGGTTAGGGTGAAACCCTAATAACCCATGACCTTTCCTTTCCAAGGATCCATGGGTTAAAAGATCCATGGACTTCCATATAAGCCTAGCCCATTAACAAAAGAGCATTAGCCCACACTATATAAAACCAATAGCCCATAATCTAATTAGTCTTCCTTTTAATCTCTAAATTAATTCATAATTAATTTAAGACTAAAACTAATTAAATAACATAATCTCATATTAATATATTATAACTTATAATATATTAATAAACATATGTGTATAACTCTCATAAAATTATCCATAAATAGTTTGGATGAGATGCAACCCAAATGGACCATGTCGGGTCGGGTCAAGTATATACCAAATAAGTTATGGACTTAGACACCTTATCCAAAAGACTCCCACTTGGATAAGTCTAATAACTGTATTTGCGTATGTTACTTCAGGAACCAACCAACAATCGTAGCTCTCGAAAACTCCGTTGAACTATGAAGACTCTGTTGAATATGAAGCGCCATTTTAGATAAGTGATCATATAATCCTCTGTCCTCATGATATCAGCCGGACAAATACATGGAACAACGTCGTACTTATTGTCCAACAGTTTTTTTCCCGATTTCCGATTTGTTTGACAAAGAATTTAATCGAACACATCAATTTAGTTCTGACCGGCCGGTACATAGGTCACAACAAAATCATCGAGGGGCCCAGATATCGCTTCTATTTCTAGAAGGAACAGATAAACTTCGACTCATATGCTTGTTCTACTACTTGTTGAATTGTACACAAAGGCACGTTTTATAACATCAAGTTACTGATGCGTTTACGTGCAATCAATGCACAACCAACTCATAGGTAACAACTCATATCTCTAGGTTTGAAGATTTATATGATATTACCATCTCACGATCACTCGAGATAAATTCCATGAAGTGATACAAGTGAGCGTGGGTTTATTCCAATACTCATAACTTATGAGCACTCATGAATGTTGTAGCAACCATTGCTATGACTAAACCCATTTAGCCATCTACAAACCCGATTCATGACAGTCTTGATTCATACCTACTTCCAACATATGAATGACTGTGGAGTGTTTAAATAACTTAGTCATTCGAAAAGAATAACCTAGCTATTTTGGAAGTCAAAACATGCAAAGTGAAACACAATAATAATCGAATCCAATATGGTCTTAGAACCCTTTTGAATATAAATAGAACCACCTTTTATTTATCACCATATTGATTACTCATTATTCATTGTATAATGTTTCAAACAATCAACTTAAGACTTGAATAAAAAAAATAGTCGTCCCATGCTCCTAGCATGTACACTTTGTTTTTCTAAACAATAGTTATGCCATAATCCAAGTATGCACACTATGTTTTTCTATGATCCTTACATTGTGATGTATATCAATTGAACATGATTCTAATGATACTCATTTCACAAACCCAAATCCTTATTGTAAATGTGAGAATCCCCGATTCCTATCATTTACCAAAAATCTGTTAGATTTTAAACTTTTATGCAATGTTCCTCTTGTAATGATTATGCACAGAGTTACCAAAACCTTGTCACCAGTCATTACAGAGTATTCCAAAGAAGGTCAACTTCTCTGGAACGGAAGTCTCATATTCAAAGTACATTGCTTTGAACATCCTTCTTGCATTAAGGTTTTCTAATCTTACATAGATTGAATAACTTCCACCTATGGAGACATTTCCATAGTCCCATTTTGACTATCACTTCCGAACAAGAGTTACTTCTTTTCAGAACATGTCAATACGGTCCTTTCCGACAACTTACATCATACTTCCAACTTTCCCTGAGCAACCAATCTTTGGCGAACCTCAGATTGTCCTCGAAAATTGCTTAATCACTTTAGTCATATCCAATTCTAGACTTTTCCCTTCTCAATGCCTTAAGCATTTGGAAAATTTAGAAAATATGAATATTATAGCACATGAAATCGATCCTATATCCGAAGCATATGGGACACGACTCATGATGTCTCACATAAAGACATGATACTAGACCAGTCTTTTGCTACAATATTTTTTATTTGCCATGTTTTCAAAATTTAACTATGAAGAGGGATGCCGTAATCATAATCGAATTTTGAAAACACAATATATATAGAATTTCTTCAAGTTGAACCATTCTAACACAAAATTCATATATATTCTTGACTAAAGATGATTAAAATCTCAATCTAAGCTTCTAGAATTGAAATGAAGTATAATTTCCTCTCCCTTAATTATAGCAAAACAACTTTTCAACCCCTGCAACTTCACGAATTGAGACTTTGTTTTCTATAATTAACATTGCTAACTTGCAACACTAAACGTAATAATCATGCTCCCACTAACATGATGATTATCAGCATAACACTTATGCTCCCACTAGCTCTGACATATTTCCAGAAATCTGTTGGACTTCTGAAATTTAGATTCATACACCCTTTCTTAGATAGCTCACATGTGTGTCTAAACAATTTTCAGAACTATGAAAAGGGATGCCGTAATCATAGTCTCAATTGCTTAGGCATTTGCCATTTCTCAAAAGTCCATGTTAGTGTGCCGGTTAACCACACACGCTCCACTAACGACTTTTTGAAAATGCAAATAACACAATTGCTATCTACTTAAAATCTACTTAATGAAAGTGTTTCCTCACCATCATTTTCATGAATCGGAGAGAAACCTCATGACACTTAGATTTTATAGTGTATGAGTTCCTATCCATGTGAATTTGTCAAAACCATAATCACAAGATAAGGTTAGTGACAAATTCAGCCTTACATGGATTAAACTTGTTCAATCTTAGTTTCTTGTCACCTTGGTAGCACAAGGCCCACCAATGCTTCCAAGTTGAACTCTGATAACTCACATGCAAGTTCAACTTATTTGAAGTAGGTACAGAAATAAGAATTATGTCAACACGATAGGTTGCAAACCTTAAGTCGTGTGCTAGTGATAAATTACAGGTTTACTCTTGATTAAATCTTGAAACTCTTTCAGGATCTTTAAGGCTCCCACTGTCCCCTTGACATATAAGTTTCCCTAGTCAAGAACCATTCCTTGACAAAACAAATATTCAAGGGATAGTGCGGATTCTTATCAAGACTAACACTTCACACAATTGGTCTTAGTTGGTCTTTGTCTCATCCAAGACATCACAACTTACCAATCTCAAATGTACAAGAGTAGAAAACATTTTACTCTTACATTTGACTAGTGTTAATAAATATTCCTTTATGTCACTCAAGGTTACAATCTTGGAGTATGACTCTAAGAATTGTTTTGGAACGAAGTATGACTCATCTTCTTGATTTTAACCAATCCAACAATTCATGACCTCTCTTCTTAGCCATAACAATGCACTAAGACGTCCTTAGAGTATGAATTTGTGATATGGTTTCATAATCATTAAGATGATCATGAAATACGATACTAAAGTACTCTCCCATCCTTTCAGATTTGAGAAACTTTTATCTTTCTGCCTAATTTGATTCTTCTCATTTGTTTTGTCATACATTGTAACCTTTCCAATGTTACAAATTATACTTAACCTTATAAGTATAATCATATTTACTAATCTTTAGTAAATCATGACAAATCAATCTTTGTGGTGGACCTTGACCAGCGCACACCCAGTGTACCTAATTCCTTAGTCCTTCAATTGACTCACATATACATGTGATCAAAGAATTAGTCTTAATTTTCAAAGATGAAAATTCTCATTCATCATACAATACAACTTGTATGATTCCAAGTTTCTGTCCAATTGAAACTTGGGTGATGAAAAACTTTCTTCATTTGGTAAATTCAGACACTACCACAAATGAAAGAATCAAATCCACTTTCCAATATTGCTATTACTGGAAACATATAAGCAACAATTTTCCACAGATGCCA